TTCTTTCCCTCTCTTCCGAGCCCTTAGCCCCTTCCACTTCGCACGGTTACGCCCTCTTCTTCGACGAGGTAAGGTAACTTCTCCCTCACTCTTCGTTTCGGTTATTTCTTCACACACATTGCGTTTCGTAATTTCTTCTTTTATTCAGGTCATGTCTCGTGAGGAATCTAGGAAGTGGTTTCAGGAGGTGCTTCCGGCGTTGGGGAATTTGCTTCTGAGGTTGCCGTCTCTGTTGGAAACACACTATCAGAACCCTAACCCTAATATTATGGCTGTAGATGGAGAGGAAGATATGCTCACAACTGCTCTTCGTTTGTTGGATTCACAACAACCGGGGATAGTGTTCCTTAGCCAGGTTAATTACTTTATGTGCATTTAATGCAACAACATCAAAAACCGCTAGCTATAATAAAGTACACAAAGTAGTACAACTTGACTGCTACTGCTATTGCCAATGAGGCAGCCACGAAAAATTATTAGGTGATATGGTTTTTAACTAGTCTTTACTACATGGCATGTAAGTGTAATTAATTTTTTCTAGTAAGTTTATAAACTTAAATGCATGTCAAGTATTGATTGGTTGAGATTATGGACACTTGGTGGTCTTGGACTGCCTAATAATTTCTCTGCAGCCACCTCTATTGCAACTGTTTCATAGCGAAGGCTGCTTCTATTGCCATTTTATTGTAGGATACGTGATTGTGAAATATGACATGCTTGATAATTGCTGAAGATGGTTATAATAGTTGACATTGACAATTTCTGGCTTTTCAGGAGTTGATTGCTGCTCTGCTTGCCTGCTCATTATTTTGTCTATTCCCAGTCAATGAAAGATATTTGAACCATCTTCCCGCGATCAACTTCGACGAATTGTTTGCGTAAGAAAACTTTAGCTCTATATTTTTGGAAGTCCATGTATTCTTGTTCACTTTCTTGTTTTAGTCTTAATTTTGTTCATCTTATTTCTCCTATTAGTGTCAAGATGCTGCAGCACTTGATGTGTCTTAGATGCGTGTTTGTGAATGGGAGTGAAAGAGAGACACAGATAGAATTGATATTGGTCTAGTCCATATCAAAGACTTATTGTCTTATTTCATGTCATAGTTATTTTTATCTTCAAATCCAAAAGATCAGTTTTCTACATTTTCAGGAGTCTGTATGATGATTACAGTCGAAAACAGGAAAATAAGATTTGGTGCATCGTTCACTATTTTCAAAGGATAAGTTCTGAAATGCCTATGGGTGTTGTCTCATTTGAGCGAAAAGTACTTCCCTTTGAAAATGATTCTATTCACATTTCTTATCCAGATGCCAACTTTTGGAGCAAGTCTGATATACCTTTATGCAAATTTGAGGTAATTGAAGGAAATTTACTGTCAATTGTCAGCAAAAGTATTTTTAGTTTTTTTTTAAACAATCCATGTGGTATGTAATAGGTAATACTTTGGCTTTGGCATTTGAATAGGTTCACAGTTCAGGGCTCATAGAAGATCAATCAAGTGGAGCTGTTGAAGTAGATTTTGCAAATAAATATCTTGGGGGAGGTGCTCTTGGCAGGGGGTGCGTACAGGTACAATATGTTTTTATCTCTGCCTAAACCTTTTATATTAGTTTTTAGCAATTATGATAGCTTTTATACCACTGTTCCTGTTACAAGCATATGGATGCAGTCTTGTGTACATAATGTCTTTAACAGCTTTTATCATTTTGTAGATTCTTTTAGGTGAGATATTTTTTTGCCACTGATGTTTTTATCGGTCGACATTTGTTAAATTTGCTTGTATTTGTCTGATATAGGAGGAAATCCGTTTCATGGTCAGTCCAGAATTGATTGCTGGCATGCTTTTCTTGCCAGCCATGGCAGACAATGAGGCTATAGAAATTGTTGGTGTGGAAAGGTTCTCGAGTTATACAGGGTTAGTGTTATTCAGTGGATCTAAACTTGAACAAGAGATTGATATTGTTGTTGCCTACTACAAGATTTATTTACTTCAAAAAGATGGTGGGACAATTTTTTTTTCTTCTATTTGAATATGAGTAAGAAAAACATGTTTATTGATTGCTATGTTTTGCATAGTGAATTTTTTCATGTTTTCCGTGTACATTGGCTGATAGTTTGGTGTATCTTGAAACATTTAAGTTTGTGACTATTTTTCTTTTTATTTATTTTTTATTTTTATTTTTTGTTTGCATTCCTGGATGCAGCAGATTTTAAATACTAAAGTTTATATCCTCCGAAGAATATAAAGATTCAACATTTTACTGTTATTTGTGATGATGTATATAAAGTATGCGTATGACAGGGTAAGCTAGTTTAAAAAATATTTATTTTGATTTGGTGTCACTTTATATGTTTTTCAGCTGTTTACTCACTCTTATAATTGCTGGGTGCTTCCTTCATAACCTAATGGTGATCATTTTTCCTGGCTTCTTTAGGTATGCATCATCATTTCGATTTTCCGGTGATTACATGGATGAAAGGGAAGTAGACACTCTTGGAAGACGGAAAACAAGGATTGCTGCAATTGATGCATTATGTAGCCCAGGGATGAGACAATATAGGGCAAAATTTCTCCTCCGGTCTGTTAATATTGGTTTATGTGACTACTACTTTTTAGGATGTAGAATCACTGTTATTGATGGGACTAGGAGAATATACAAAGATAAAATTTATAACCTAAGATTCATCATGTTTGATGTTTGTACTTTGAAATTTGTAATTGTTTATAAAAGGTGTCTTGCATGCATGCATTCCCTGCAAGGTAGAAACTTTCGAGAGTTGCCTTTGGTTTCTTTTACTCATTTCTTTGGAGGAATGTGCCTGCTTTACTACACACGGTAGCTATAATAGTAGCCATACTCTTTTTTTTTTCTTCCTAATAATATTTCTTCCTTCATGAAAACAGAGCTCTCTTTATGTTAGATCAGTTTTATTTCCATAAATTAGGAGACTCTAAAAAAGAAATTATTGGTAAAATTATTTATAATTTAGTACTTTAAGTATTTAACAATGTTTAAGGTGGTTTTATAAAATAAATTCTGAACTTGTTCATTTCTGCAGTGAGATCAATAAGGCATTCTGTGGTTTTCTGAACCAATGTAAATATCAACCATATAAGAAGATATTGCAAGAGAATGGATGTTCATCTGCACTGGTTGGTCTTTCCCACGTTTTCCTAGAAACAATGATACTGGATTTTAGGTTAAGCAACATCTTAATATAAATAAGTTCTCATAAATATATTTCTTTGTTAATTTATCTTTTTGAACACTCTTTGCTTCACAGTTTGATGCTGCCACCTCAACATCTATGGAATCAAGTGAAGGAAAAAATCCAAACCACATTATTAAAAACTCTCAAAAAAATTATCATTGGATGGATCAGGGCAATAATATCGGGGTTGCAACTGGAAACTGGGGATGTGGTGCCTTTGGAGGAGATCCTGAAGTAAAGGCCATAATTCAGTGGCTTGCAGCTTCTCAGGTAATTTTATATATTGAGCCATCAATGTATGAGTATGTGGCAGTCAGTTATCATTGTGTAGTTATCTGAATGAGTTAGAAATGCTTATGTTTATCTGTACACCAAGGAAAACCCACTTATTTTCCATGTCATATTTGCTATGGTAAAGTGGACATTTAGGCATCATTCTTCCACTAATTACTAGCTAAATGAGAGAAAATTGGTAATCTGTACAGTTATCTATCTTCAGTTATATAACTCTATTTTGACCCTTTTAGCCTTTTAGGCAGTGTATTTATTTATACACTCTTTTATTTTTTCTTTTACTCATGCTTCTCTTACGCATTCACATCTTTTCTCAACTTCTATTCTCTAAAAGTCAGTTTTTGAACACAATCAAACAAATCCTTATTTTTTTCAAAAACTATTTTAAAAAAGTCTTGGCGAACAAGTTTTATTGTGCTTTTATTTTAAAAAAATGAAAATTGTTTTATAAATAAAAGCAAACAAACAGCCCCTAAATATCTAGTTACTTGTAATTGTCATTTCAGAAAAGGTGTTGTATACTAGGGAACTGTGACATACGACAAAATGAAACTTGTATTTGTTGATCACAGCAACTGTGGTACCTTAGTAATACTTAGGCTCTATAAGACCTTAACTTATCATGCTCGAAAACCAATGTTGTCTTGGTTCCTGACTTACAGGCTCTAAGACCTTTCATAGCATACTACACATTTGGCTTGGAGGCATTGCAAAACCTAGATAAGGTAATTTGATCTTTCTGTTTTAGTGAGAGAATCTCGATTATGATAGATGGCATCCTGATAGACATCTGCATTGAAAAGTGTCATTTGTCTTTCTATGAAGATTTCATACTAGGAACTTTGATTGTTGTTGTGGCAGGTTGCGCATTGGATTTCGTCACAGAGATGGACAGTTGGGGACCTATGGAACATGCTAATCGAGTATTCAACAAGTAGATTAGAAGGAGAAACTAATGTTGGCTTCCTTCAATGGCTCTTGCCATCAGTATATGGCCATGGTGCTGGGATGGATTTGTGAAATTGGCTTAATCTTATGTTGTTGAACATCTTTCTCTTTTATCAATGCATGATCTCACTTTGAAGGAGCTGTGAAAAGGTATCCGGTGTATGTATAGTTTGATTTGGGGACTTCCAAGTTTTATCATTCTTGCATGACTACACTGCAGACCGTGAAGCCAGAATCTACTGCAAAAGAGATAACATGCATATATGTTTTTCGCCAAGTGCTATGGGGTGGATACAAAAAATAGATTATACGGATTCTCTTCCTACATCATTTAAAAGGTGCTGCAAATGGAGAAAAAGTACAAGAGTAGTTTCCGAATATGTAAATAAAATATTTCGTTGCTGATGGCAGATACATGTTTTACGTAAATATTCTGCAGCAGCCAAACCATGCATCAAGGAGCGAAGGCTTACCATGCAATTCTTGTCAAGATAACTCTTTTCCATGTAATCAAGATATTGTAGATGAAGAATCTCACCTCATTTTTTACTGTATTTATAGAGAATTTGATAATGTTTTTAGAAGATAAAAATAAATAGTCAATGCATATGAAGTACTATTTGATAAATACATTCTTTATTTAAGAATTTAAAAACTTGACTACAAATTAAAAATTTTAAAAACGTAAGTACTATTTATCGTAGAAGCCGGTGAAACGGTCAAATTGGGAAAATTCCGACCTTAAAGTCAATTTTTTTCGTGAGCGTTAGACGAAAGTTCGAATTTCCTGATGGGAACTGTTTTTGGCACCCCTAAATTACTATTAAAATCCTTCACCTTTTATTTTTTATTTTTTGTCAAAAATACCCGACAATTTTTATATGCAATTGATCTTAGCTGTTGGTTAAGTAAATATTTTGTTGCAGTGTTTCGGCATTTTTTTCACATTCAAGTTACAATAGTTTATCAATAACTATTAATAAAAGGCATAAAAATGTATTTAGTCCTTCAAATTTGGAGTATATATTTTTATCTTTAAAATTTAAAGTGTTATAATTGCAAAAATAATTGTCTCGTTTAAAATTTGTTTTTTTCTTAAAATATCAAAAATTGTTGTCTCTTAATTTATCTCTATCAGTTACAATAATTTGTCTCCATCAGTTACAATATTAGTGACACTATTTTTGAAATTATATAGGCAAATGATAAATTTTAAATTTGAGAAATTAAATAATAATTTTTAATATTTTAGGGGCTAAAATCATAAATTTTAAATTTGGAAGACTAAACATAATTAAAACATTCACTTGCAAGGAGTAATGATTCATGCTAGGGTCTAGTGTGATAAAGGTGAACACAGGCTTACTCAGAATTTGTGAATTTTGTGGTTAATTGTTCATGATTTTTCATTTGCAAATGGATAAAATATAGAAGAAATTCTCGCATTTTTCAATATAATTTATCCTTTGAAAAACTCCAAAAATATATTAAATGTTTCTTAATATACTTCTATATTAAACTTTTAACATCTATCGCCTAATATTTGATTCACTCGTAACAACGCACCGATGTGTTTTGCAATTAATCAAACAAAAAGAGCTAGTTTTCCGCATAACAAATGAAGGTTGGAATCCTCATCGAGAAAAATGCCCCCATTTAGTATTTGATGGTGTCTCTAACGAGTCTACATCCGAAAGAAGATACCTGTGTGATAAAAGGTTCACCCATTTTATTGAAAATTTTCATCTTATAAAAAATAATAAATCTAGTTATGCTTTGTTTGGCTTGTCAGCGCGATACGGATAGAGCTAGTTATGCTTTAAACCCTATAATCATAAACCCATATATCGGCGCTTTCCGTCTTTCAAATTCATCACTAAAATGCTATGCAGGCAAAATCATCAGTTTGCAATTAAAAACCAGAACGTCTCTTATACCTAAAAAAGGTTTTTCGCTTGACTTTCAGTTTTAAAAGGAATTGTTCATCCACAAAAATGCATATGTTCAATCCTTTTTCATATTACTATTATTGATTTTTGCGTGATCAAGATATTGTGGCATTATCTTGAACTAAAAGTAACACTTTCTATTTCCCCACTTCGTAACCACTAGAAAAGAAAGAAATAAAGAAACCACCAACATTATACGGCAGAAGCACAAAATTCTAGACACAAATACGTGGATTATTTCATTGATAGCCTTCCAAAAGAATAGTGCATGAAGCATTTGCCAAATAACTTCCCTCGAAGTTATATATTGAATAAAACAAGTAGTGCATAGAGGAAACCCTATCAACACAAAGTCCAACAGGATATCATACGATGCACTTACCCAAATATCAAGATTGACATAAGACGGAATAATTTATACAAAAATCTGTAAATTCCAAAATTAATCCTATGCTGATGTATATAGCATTCCACGATCTCTATGGACCAGTACAAACCAATTTCTCTATTATAGGTACAAAAGGGCAAATACACTGAATATGTGGGGGGAAATCAGTTAAGGTCTTGAGGTAGTAATTAATGGATATGGTTAGCAAAGAATTTGCCAAAATCAACCCAGAAGAATATAGACTCAAGCAGACCGGTTTGCTTCTAACCTAACGAGTGAATTGGCTGCACTTGTTAACTATTATGGAGGACTATTAATTACCGACAAATTACTTTACAACATTTACAAACATGCTTAAATAACGCAATGTAGTATAAAATTGCAATCAATGCTCATTCTTAATTCTTGCCTTTAATATTCCAGGAAGGGGTGGAGATGAAGGAGTCCTATTTGGAGGGTTTGAAACTGAAGTAGGAACCTGTGCATGGTACAACCCTGACATGCTAGAACCTTCACCGCCATCTGTAGGATTGTCTGTTGCATTATCATTCTGAGACCTCTCACAAAATTTCATTGCCTTGAGAACATAGTTATCATCATGCAGCTCAAAGGGAGTGCTACAGAGAAAGAGAAGGAAGAGAAAATGAGCATACATACAAAAATGTTTTGAATTATATAAAGCTCTAATAGTACAGAAGTGACAGATGTATTTCTCAACGCAACCTTTGTTTGACCATCATAATAGTATACAAATGATTGAATCTATGATACAAGTGATACAGGAATAGGATCACATTCAGACAGCAAATGGGCAAGATAACATCAATATTCTTATTGAAATAAATCTAAATAATTGAAGCCTTCCTACCTATTGAAATCAAAATGCACAAGCTGCATATCTTCTGATATTTCCACTTCAACTGTTGCATGGGGGCGTGTCTTCAAATTCCAAAAGTCAGAAATGATATTAATTAAGACCAAAATTCAGTAAATAACTTGATTGATTATTTATTCAATAAGCTTTATAAATAGGAGTTTACTCATAAGATTGACTACGGAACTTGTTGTAAAAAGCAAAATGAAATTATTATAAGTTCTTCCTTGAAACTTAATAAGTTAAAAAGAGCTCATAAGAAGTTCCATCATATCAATACCAGTAAAATATAAGCATTAACTGACATTAAAGATCCAAAGGGGTAAACGAGAAACAACACAAATAACCAAAAACAGTACAACACAACGTACCTGCACCAGAATGAAAGGCAAAGACACACCTCCATTGGGAGCGTTTCCTGAGCTATATAATTGCTCATTGCGTTGTATAAGTTTCTGAAGACCTACATACTTGATAAATTAATATAAGAAGTTAGCAAACAGAAACTAATCATTATGGAACAAAAATCATAGTCTTCTTATAAACCAACTGCAATTTTCAAAACATAAACAAAATAAATTCCTTGGGCTTTCAAACTTAGTACAGGAGTTCAATCCCCGATTAAATCCACTAGAGAGAGTGGTTCTTACTTGCTCCTCCAGCTCTTGCAAATAGGCTGCTTTCTTTTCAATTCTATTCCTTAGCCCAAGACGCTCTGTCTGTTGAAACAATTATTAATTTAAATGATCCTTTTATTGTATTTTTAGAATAGCTGAGAGCATCACCTTAAGGAAATAATAAGCTAATAAGAGCCAAAAAATAAATAATAATTACAACCCTAATGTTTGCAAACCTTAAGCTCTTCAATATCGCTTAGACTAGTACGAGGAAGACCCTTCCATTGTATTTCCTTTTTATCCTTAGAAATAATATCCATTGCCATGAGAACATTCAAGGCATCATACACCCTTCGACGAATGTTTTTCTCGTCATATTGTTGCTGTCAAACATTAACCCCAAAAAAATTAAGTCCATAATATTGATGATAATACTCCGTCTGAAATCATTTGAACAAAGAGAAGACCTGATCAGGAGTTGAAACACCATTGCTTGGATCAGCAAATTCAGCCACAAGTTCATCAGCTACCTATAATATAACCACAATCCACATTAAATCTTAGAAAATAAATTATGAATAGGTACTATATATGAGAAATTCAAACCAGAATTTGTGTGAAAAGTTGAATTACCAAGAAAGACAATGAAAACACATACATTCTCACAGTTTTATTTTATTTTAGTTTTAGAGTATCTGTCTTCAGAAACATTTCCTTACAATAGAAATGATAATCATTTTGTTATAACAGATAGAGTTGCTAAGGCTTATGAGAAAATATATGAAAAAGAAACCATGTAGGCATGTAAGATGCATATATCATCAGTTCCTAACCTACATACTTCTATACAGCTCATATCCCCTTTGCCATAACTTCTCTCCAATCTAATTAATCTACAACAATTGTATCAGGCTCGTCATTTTCCTAGTGTAGCAACAATATGCCTCTATATTATCTCAGAAGTCCGAAAAGAACCTAGAGTTTAGTACTTACAACTATTGGAAAATCTTAAAAATAAAGAAGCAGTCATGAGAAGATAACTTCTGTGGAATTATATTACCCTACGGGCTCCTGTATGAAATTATAACACCATCTACAGATTGTAGTTCTTGAAGAATTCTCAAGAATATGTTATAGGCATCTAACAAGTCATGGGCTGCAATTCATATGTATCATGGTTATGCTTGATAATCAAAATAAAATGAATATAAACTCGTGAAATACCGAGGACAATCCCTTTTAAAAATCTAAAAGTAATTTCTTAAATGCACACAATTTTAAATTAAGTACAACACATTAGAACTTGAAACATGCACGTGCATATGCAAAATGTATTAAAAAAAAAGAAATTAATAGAAAAATGCAGCAGCTATATACATACATTTTACATGCATATAACATATAAAACTGAAGCCAAAAACTAAAATTTCAGTTTAGCACAAACTGACTTAGAGCAACTGGCTGACCTCATTGTAAGTTGTTCTTCCCTTGCTTTCTACCTTCTCACACACTGCACAACCAATAAATGGGAAACAAAATTAGTAAGAAAATATATCATTATGACCTCCACCCAAATAATGTCAATCTAAGGAGCACAGCTAAATACCACAAATGCAAATTTGGACTTAGTGCATGTTTGATAAGCAATTATTTCTTCAAAATAAATTAAGCCAAACACAAACAAAGCTTCCCATAATCTGCACAGCATGCTATAAGCAACTTTGATAGGCCATAGCTATTAACTAGAAAAGATCAATAATCATTTTCTTTAAAGAACAAACTGGTCAAAATGGATTAGATTAGAGACCTTTCATACTAAACTGGCGGAGACCTCTTCCACTCTTATCACCTCCAACAGCACGTTGGCCCCTCTTTTTCTTCTTGCTACTGTTTAAAAACTCATAATGAACAACAATCAACTGTTTTTATATGTATACAGGAATTGTGAAACCAGAAGCAGATAATTGACACTAGCAAGTAATAGATAGAATTTCATGCCCAAAAAAGTATTTAACTTAACAGGAAGATTTTAGTAGATAATTTTAAAAAAGAAAGAAGAAAAAATAAAGTATTAATATTTCTTCCTGCCAATAAGAACTAAGTTAAGCATAAATAGACTCTCCTATTAAACATAAATAGACTCACTTGTCCTCTATATAACTATAAACAAGCCTCAGAAGAGTCCACTTATACTCAAGAGTATAAGACAAAAGAAAAACCTCCCTTATCTGGAGACAAAAGCAAAGACAAATTTAAGAAACTCTTAAAGCCCCAATAATAAACACTACACCACTGTATGCAGAAATTCAAAGAACCTTCTATTGATTTTTAGCCAAATATTCTAAATTCTATCAACAATACAAATCCTAAACCAATTTTGGGTCAATGTATGGCATGTCATATTTGGAAAATGACTGACAAGCAAACATAAAAATGACCATCTGACCATGAGTGTCAAAAAACTGCAGACTGATACCACATGCATCAAGAATTAAGAACTTCATACAACAAAACATTTCCAGATTTCCTCGCTTTTTTATATTACAAAGACTACTGAAAAAGCCTTGAGCTTAAAGAGAGCTTGTTCTTTCAAAATGCAATTGTAGAGGAAGGCAATTTTTAAATGGGTTCACAGATACAACTGTAACAACAAAAATTACATGAGAATGCTTTTGTTCTCTCAGAACATCTCTAAAAGGTCTAATTCTTCCATCACGAGGGTTCTCTAGAAAAATGAGTATGTTTTAACTATTTTCCTTTTCTAATTTGACCTTTATAAAAGCTTATCTTAGTAAACATTTAAATTGTTTGTTAAAAAAGATCCAAATCAATGTTCATTTGAAATGGTATATTCATGGGAAAATGTTGAACTCAAACCCCACAAACTTCAAAAGAAAACTTACAAGTCATATAACATCTGCATCACAGCAAATCTCATAATTATACAATTATCACAGGCTCAAAGGATAATGGAGAACTCACGCAACTGCGCCCTGTGATCCAGCATCATCACCATGTATATCAAGATGGTTTAACCTAAGGAAAGTGTTATCACTAGCTGGTGTTGCCATTGTCTGCTCACTGCGGCTGGATGGTGAGCCAACACTTCTGCTAGTTGACATTGATTGACCAGAGATCGTGGTTCCACGGCCCGGCAGCTCCTCCTCCTCCTCCTCCCGAAATGTTTGTTGGGGTTGTGTTCCCATGTTGGTAAGTCACTTACCTCAAGGCCTGGTAATAAATCCTACTGGTCGAAACTGAATTAAATGGAACAAAAGTTTTGAAGTAAAGCTGAACTGCTCAGTAATATCTGTGAATAAATCAATAGTCCTTCTGGTATCAGCTTCAGAAATCAGCTTAAGATTATATGTAAGAATAACAGGCGTAAAAGATTCAAGGGGTTATTGCCCTTTCTTGTCCAAAGGAGACTATTTTTAACATCCATACATAATCATCATTTTTCATATTTCACATTAATATATAACATAACTATATCTATCTCATATAAAACATTTTAATCATTACAATTATATAGCATGATTAATTATTCAATTAAACAATATAATTGTAGAGAACGAGAGTTCATATGATGGATAATCATATAAACAACAAACAATTATGGGGAAAGGGAAGCATGCAAGAGGCTACATTCACCAGGAAGCACAAGACCCAAACAATTATGGGGAAAGGGAAGCATTCAATTCTCAATGTTTTAAAGCATTATAGGAGAAGGAAATGAATATGAGAAATTTAAGAAAGCATAATTGACAAAAGGAGGAAAACAAAATTGAGAAATTAGGCGTCCCTAGATGTTAGTTATCAACACGTTGCAGAAATTAAGGGTACGAATACTCACCAACGACGTTGAGATATCGACCTGAGAAACAGAGAAGACCTAAAATGTTGAAGATGAAGAGAGGAACCACTGGACCAAGTGCTTGCGTGAAATTGAGGATACGACCACGCTCTAGGTTTTAATATGCCAAAAAAATCAGACCGAACCGAACCGGATTGTAAATCAGTCCATTATCTATACTCTTTTTTATAATTACCTTATCTCTACTTTTTTTTTATCATTATACTTTTTTATTTTAAAAAATTAAAAAAAATATAATTTATCTATACTAATATCTTTTTTAATATATAAAGAAGATACCATTTTCGGTAACCACTTTGATCTCTACTTTTTTCTTTACTATTTATACTTTTTTATTTTAAAAAATTATAAAAAATATTTTTTAATTAAATTTAAAAACTTAAAAACTAATAAATCTATACTAATACTAATATATCAATGAGATATCACTTTTAATAATTACTTTAAGTTTCTATTTTTACATGAATCATTTTATTTTTTATTTATTTTTTAATAACTACTTTTTATGAATGATTTTTCATTTTTTTCTTTTTAATTTATTTTTTTCTTTTAATATAATGCAGGCACGAAGTGCCTTTTTCCTGCTAGTTAATATATAAAGGAGATACCCTTTTCAGTAACTACTTTCTTTTTATCATTATACTTTTTTATTTTAAAAAATTAAAAAAAATTAATCAATAATATTAATTAAATTAACATATTTTTATAATTTAACTTTGAGTTTTATTTTATTTTTAATTGAGATAATAATAATAATAATAAATAATTAAATAAAACACCAGTTTTTTTTTCCAGTAAATAGCGTATTATAAACCCGGGCGAAAGAGACGTAAGATATGTTTTCTAATTCTCACTGCTTGCCCTAACAGAAGAGGTGTTGCCGACGCCGAGAGCGGAGTTCCGTAGCCGGTGAGACTTTATAGCTAATTTACGGTTTGTTTGTTTTTAATTAATTTTTATTCTTTAATCGAGGAATGAATGTTCTAACGAAATCCTTCACGTATTTCTGGACAGTTGCGGTTATCAAAATAGTTATCGACTTTCACTTCAACCAACAACAAAAGTTGTCGCGAGTTTGATTTTCTTGCTACTGTTGTAATCTGTAAGTACTCCTAAACTTTGAGGTCAGAATTATTTTTTTCACAGCCGAAAAATTTCAGGATAATTGTTGTTTTTTTTTTGTTTATATAATATGATCTAAATTTTATCTATATTTAATTATTTATATAATGTCTGCTTCGGCAATCTAATTGACCAAAAGTTTTGTTTTTTAAATGGACATTCTCATTTTATACAAGTAAATCATTCCAACCCAATTTCTATCCTTTGTGTGCCGTCAAGTATAATGTTTGTGGCCAATGTGAGAGCAAGTGTAGAGGAGTCATTCTTTGGTTAAGCACAGTTGGTAACTTCTATTTTCTGCTTTGTATCAATAACTGGGTCTCCATTTATCATGTTTAATGATGGTTGATTCCCTCTTTGGTGAATAATTGTATGGCTTTTGAGGATAAATGAATATGCACACTTGCCTACTACCTATTTGATGAAAAGCCCCAACTTTTGGGAATAAAATTATGTGTGATATAGATCGACAATTGAATCTTTTTTTATTGTGTAGCACTTTATTCTGTTATTAGTGAACGAACCTTTGAAACTAAAAATGACCAACCCAAACCATCTGATTGTTAGCCCCTACTGTTGTTCCTCTTATCTTGTAGCACATGTAGGAATGTCTAATTCTTACTATCAGTAAAAATTAGTTTCAAAAGAACAAGAATAAAAAAATTATAAAAAAAATGCAAAACCCTACAAACTGTATACTCTCTAGTCTCTACACTTTCTCTAATTGCAACCTTACTTCAGAGGCTACAAAAGTTTTTTGTTTCTATATTCCATTTTTCAGTATAGAGAAGTTCAAACTCATGATCTACAATAACTTATAAGAGCCTAGTGGACATTTCAGAGTGATGGTAGACAAAGAAAGACCAATTACAATTAGATTTTGGTTTCATGATTTTATTCTGATTATGATATGAATTGTTCTGAGTGATTCTATCAGCATATTTAAGGTTGCTATTATTACTACAGTAGAAAATGTCAGGATTAATTATTTTACATGAGAAGGAATTCCTCTACTGTAGAAGTATTAAAGTATTAGACATTTGTACCATTTTATAACCTTTTGTAGCATACAAATTTAACAAATCTAATAACTAAATAGTGTGATATTATTTTGATAACTAATCATCCCAAATTTTAGATACATTGGATATTCACAAGTAATCTCATATTCAACATTTACTCATCTTTTAAAAACATATTACTTCAAATAAATTTGTATGATGAATTATAAGCTAGCTTTTATAGTGATTTAAACATTGCAGACTTGATATGCTTGATGGGAACTTTTAATCAAGAGGTTGTATAAATGAAATTCACTGTTCATAAAAGTTATTATATGGTGGTAGCACTTGCTCTATGGAATAATTAGATCCCCATTCATTTTCTATTAAATGGTGGTAGCACTTGCTCTTGAACTTCTGAGATGAATTCTACATAACATAAAAATAAATTTCCATGCAATCCTATAAAAGAAAACATAATAACATACATATATACCAAGGGGGTCTAGCTCAATTGGTTGAACAAGGTGTGTGAGTTGTTATAAACTGCTTGGTTCTATTCGCACTGATCAAAACAAAAATAAATAAATAGATTCAGACATCATTGAATTATAACCTTGTAAAGGAATCTCCCAGAAGGAAAAAATCTGATGTACTGGAAATAGCAGACCTGCAGAATATAGAGAAAAATAATATACAAAATAATATTGTGAATAAATGAATAACTAAATAAGATATATGTACAATATATTAGTGTAAATGGTTATTTAGTGTTGGTTAATAACAATTACTAAAAATAATTATTTTTTCTTAAAAATTAAGAGTATAATCATCCATAATTTACGGGAAGAAGTATTCCCTTTATTTGTTAGTATAGATTAATGAAAAAATTTAGACACGCCCAAACGGCGTCGTTTCAAACAAAAATTGTAATGGATATGGGCCTAAAATAGGTCTGGCCTGCTGGGCCATTTAGGCAGGGCCCAATTCCTGGGATTCCATCATGATTGTCCCACGAGTACCGGTTGCGAACGCACTCATAGATATAATATATAACACTTGTTTTTCTCTTTTTTGTCTCCTCTATAGGGACAACGTTGTTAGCTTTTGAATGTTTCTATCTTGCAAACTTGTTATGTTATAGATTATAGATAGCTCCCAACTTTCATCGAAGACTTTTGGTGCCATGCAATTGACGCGCAATTTACATTGATATAAACTTTGAACTTATATATTGTTGACGACACAAGGTTTATTCTTGGGTAATTTAATTATTGCTGTTTAGATTATTAATTTTTTTATAAGCGTTAATTGAATGACTAATGATAATAGAAAACTGTTTCCAAGCATAAAACACCTCTGCTATAAGGGGAAAATGGGTATCATAATCTAAATTTAAGATTGCATATTTATACTGAATTTTATATGGTGAATATGCTTCATCTTCTGCTTACAGGACAGTTGTTATTTGGTTCCATCTTTGGGTTTGTTGCATACGAGGGAGACTACTGTACTAGACTTGATTATTGCGTCATGGATCCTTTTGATGATGTTCTACCAGTGGCTCCTGCTGCACGTTGTTAGTGCTTCACTCCAATGATGTTGGGAAAGCTTTTTTTATTTTTTTTTCTTAAGAATTTAATCATACTTATGTCAGGTGGTTTTATTGTATTCTTCTGTAGCTCGGCCAGGTGCCAAGTTTGTTCCAAAAGCCAAATTGAAACAGCTGCCTCGAAAGGAAATACCGACATCAGAACATGCAACTTCGTCGAAAGATGGAATTTCTGGGAACGAATGTCAGAATGCAGTTGCTTCAACTGTAAGTATGCTAGCAGAAGAATCTATGGGATCCATTCATCATACACAGGTAGAAATTCCAAATTATTGTGAAACGGGAAATGCTAAACAAGTTGGTGTGAAAGGAGATAGTGCAGTCACAGTGGATGATTCTGCAACCACTATGTCTGAAGTTGATGCTGATCAGAATTCTACAAGCTTTTTAAAATCAGCTTATGGGGTAAATGTCATTTTTTATTGATGGTTATATTAAATCATTGTTATGCAGTAACCTCTTTTTACCTTAATTTGTTTATCAATTTAGGCAGAACTAGTAGATTTTGAGGTGGGCTCAGTAACTAACTTCGATCCTGAGACCAATGTCAATAATGGTAAGTTATGTGTACACATTACTTGTCTTTGTGAAGCCATTTTACTTCATCTCTGACTTGTAGCTGTCACAATGTGTGAGTCGTCACTTGAGTTAACTTTTGTCTGATTCATTTCCTATCTATCATGTTGTTTAGGCACCGCACAACCAGTTCACCCTGATAATGCCCTAGATAGGATGAAAGAACCCCCTAAAAATGGGGAAGGTTCATTTTTTGACAGCAACAAAGGTTTGGAGCTTATTGATAATTCATTGCGAGTTAGTACGGATTTGGGCTTCAAAAGTGTTTCAGATAATAAAGCTGCCGAATTTGAATTGGATCCTTTTAGCAACATCCTCCCTGATCCTGGCGCTAGGAATGGTTAGTGATATTGATGATTTTCTAAATATTCTTCACATCACTGAAAAGATGAGTTACCTGTATTTTTTCTTATTGTAGCTCATAAATTTCAGCCCAAGATTAAGTCACGACCTAGAGCATGCAATACGCCAGCAATTGCTTCTGCTTCATCTAATGTTATGACAGAAAAATCTGTTGAGTTGCCTACTTCTTGCAAGAATGACTTTCAATCTTTTCAGTCTAGTGGTGATGGCAGTGGTGGACTAAACCAATCAACTAGTTTACCTTTACCGGCCTCAGAGATTCTTAGAACAACTGATTTACCCAATAAGTTTGATTATATGAGCTCAAGCATTCCATTCTCTGAAGACAACAAGAGCTTGGAATCTGCAATTCCATCCCAACTGGATTCCCTAAATGCTATGCTTTCAGAGGATGCAGTTCATAATGGAACTAGAGATTGGCCTTCTAGCTATGGCAAATCATCAGGAGAGGTAAAGCAAAAATTAATATTGGTTTTTTTCTATTTTCATTAATTTATTTACTTTTTTTATTATTAATTTGCTAAACATTGATAAATTTTGTGCATACAGGCTGCAGACATTTTTTATGGGCTGGAATCCCTTGATGACTTTATCACCCATGCTGCCACTGATACAGGTGATTACTATATTCCTTGTGATTTACCAAATTACATAAACTCTCTTCAGACTTCTTCATTTTAGCTTTCAAGAGCATCATTTGTATTGTGCTGCCTTTTAACCTCACTGTTATGGTTAACTGGCCCCCAGCCATCTTTAATTTGTAAGTGACCATGGGTTTCTTCAGTAGTGATTGGAAATATTGTGTGTAGGAAAACCAGCTCTTCATTCTTTCAATGAGAAGGGTGCAGAGGAAAATTTTGCCACACCTGCTAGTAATTCTATTAACTCTTTTGGGGAATGTGTTACTACCCAAGATACATTAACCTTCGATGAAGGTGCAGTTCCCAATGAGGATGATACTCACACTAACAATAGGTCGGAAACAGAGGTGAGGATTATGTGATTACAAGGATATGATAATTTCCTGTAAATGCTAAATAACTAATTATTTTTTTAGTGAATAATATTGATCATAATTATTGATATCAGGAAGCTGTGGACTTGAATCCTGACTGCCCAGGTGATGATGTCTTTGATTATCACTCAATGAAATCTGACGAAGATCCAACTTCTGGAATTCCAGTACATGATGAGTTAACAAATGTTGCAGATAGTCCCAGATTGGCTGATCTTTTGCAAGCAGATGTTACAAGGGAAAAACAAGTAAGTATCAGTTACTATGACATATCAAGTTTTTTTCATTTTTCACGTGAATCTGATTGTAGATAATTTTCATTTCATTTACCATGCTTGTCAGGATTCCAATGAGAAAAAAAAGGATGACTCAACGCCATGTTCTGTAAGGAAGAATAGAAGATCTTCTATTGCTGGTGAGGAGGATAAAGGTGGTAAAACCTCAAGACAGCTGAGAAAACAAGCGGCTCGTAAGCCTGCAAACAGCTCATTGAATGAGGATGTTGAAGATAATGATGACCTTGACCCTCCTTATAATTCTAACGGAGATGAGCTTCAAGAAAATGATGATGACTATGAAGTTGATTATTCATCCAAGAAAAGAAGAGCATCAACAAGTTCAAAGAAGAAATCTGTAGCTAAAAGTGGAAAAACATCTCAAAAGCGTAAGAAGGCTAATGACGATTCAGAAAAAACTACGAAACCAAAAAAATTCTCTCGTTCAACCCGACGAAAAAAAAGATGCGGTAGAACTTACTAGACTGTTTGTGTTTAATTTTCATCTTTGGTTATATACTTATGTAGAATTTTTTTCTTTTTCATAGTGGACAAGGCTCTGCTAGAAATTCCTGAGGATGAACTTGATCCTCGAACATTGCCTATTAAGGATATTATCTTACTTGCAGAACATAGGGAACGGCTGGCGGTGTGTACACTCTATTCTAATCCTTGTGTTACAATCTAACCATTGTTACTCTCATAGTATGGAACTATGGCTTAAATTTTCACCAACTGGTCCTTTTGTTTTATTATGTAGAAAAAAGAGGCAATGACTTCAGGGGCATCTTCCACCTGTCAAAGGTACTCAGCTTTTTAGTAAGAGTTTAAATTTTATTTAATTTTCTGGTCAATATTTATTTTTTCTAATACAAATTATCTTCATGAGGCCACTGCATATTATCCACTGGCTGTTGTTATTTCTCTTACAAATCACGTGGACTAGTAAATAAATTTCAGTTTGCGTAATATTTATCTGCAGTGGTGGAGATCCTTTTCATGAGGCCGGTGCTAATAATGAAGAGGAGTTCTCAGGTTCAGAAGATGATAGAGACCCATATGAGGATCAAGCAACTGAAGTGATTCCAACAGCTTCGACTTTATTCAACTACCAATCTTTCATGGAAAAGGCACCTAGGGGAAAATGGTCAAAACAAGACACTGGACTGTTTTATGAGGTATTTGCATAGTTCTCACATGATGTCTGACATTATTATATATCTTAAAACACAATTATTCACCAAGTAACTTTGTTTTACCTTGCGGTTGGGAGGAGGGGCATGGAAGAAAGAGCTGTACATTGCAGTAAATTACCTAACTCTTTTTCTGTTATTTTGACATAGGCTGTCAGGGAGTTGGGCACAGATTTTTCTATGATACAACAGCTTTTCCCTGGTAAAACACGCCATCAAATTAAGTTGAAGTACAAAAAGGAAGAAAGGGAGAATCCTTCACTGTTAACTGATGCTGTAAATAACCGTGCAAAAGGTTTTCACCTTTTAATTACTGTTGTGCTTTCCTCTATCAGACCGATGTGTATATTGTTAAAGCAGTCCAGAAATGATCCTCAAAATTACTTCATTAACTTGCCATGGCAAACATAAGTTTAGAATTGTTAACTTCATTGCTCTTCGTTAGCTCTTTGATGAGGCAAAAAAGTTATTCTAAATCAAATTTATACTTCCTTCTTGTAGATCACTCTCATTATAAATTGTTGATTGAGCGACTGCAAGATGCTTCCAACAAGGCAGAAGTAGATCCCAGTAGAGATGCCTCAGATTTCATGGCGGTGGATGAGGTTCTGGACCTAACACCCGCAACTAATAATGTATGCACTTTTGACCTGTTTAGTTTCTTTTGATATCTCCCTTTTGGTGCACATAATTTATGATTTCAGTACCTTGTGTGTCACAGAAATTTTCTTATTGCATGATGTTTGCCTGTGGAGATGTGTGGAACATAGCAGGTCCATCTATAAATATCAACACTTTTACTTGGTTCTGGCCTTCATTTCCTGAATGCTGTGATGTTTAAAGCTTTTTCTACCTTAATCATTAGATCAATGCTGATATCTTTGTTCTACCCTAAACCAAGTTACGCCAATTCGTCCTTAATTAAGAGTTATAATGTTTATACAAATAAATAAATGATTAACACATTAAGTTTGTTATTATCATTATGTTTTAAGAAATTATCAAATTAAAGTATATTTATTAGAAATGAAAATTTGTTTAACTCTTTAAGATACCCTAATTTCTATCTCGTAATTGACCGTGCTAATTTCATAAATTGTTTTGATCTAAATGAAGGAGGAGGCTGCAGAGGTTGCAACAACTAAGCAGGAGGATGATGTTAAAGCACAGGAAGATTCGGTGGCAGTTCCTAGTCCAGAGCAATCTGATGATAGTGACGATGACTTTCAAAAATGGTCTCAGTATAAAAGTGTCTTTGATGAATAATGAAATATGTATATCATTATAATCTCATTTAATTTTCATTCTTTTAATTGCTGAATAATTTTGTGAAATCATTTTACCATCCGATTTCATAGTCCAGCGCATTCTTTTTTCAATCTTGCGTTCATTGTACAGTATTTTCTTTTTCTTTTTCTCATTGATGTATCGTTAATTTGTAATTAACTTTTGAGTTCATTAATTTTTTCTATATTCTGTTATTTGTTCTTTTATGTAGTATATCAGAAACATTCATTTGTCCCTCTATATTCATGTTTGACCAATGCAATGAAGCAAAGAAAGTCGAGGAAGGAACCCATGTCAAAGATGTTTGTGAAAAAAATCTTTCACCAAGATTGGGCATAATAATATTTACCACAGGATATATTTTCTTGCAATCTTTTATAACGATCTTCTACGGTGACATTTTTTTCCGGTGATATTTTAATAGCTTCATTTTACTTCATTTTAATCCCGGTCTAATTAAAAAAAAAAAAAAAAAAAAATTTACCTCTAAGTGGTAAACAATGAGGAGAGATTATTAAAAAACCAAATAAAGATTAATGTTGTCTTGGAGAGATTATTAAAATTAAAATACCAAATAAAGATTACTGTTGTATCATAAATAACATTTATACATTAAGAGCAACTATATTACACAAGAATATTTTTAAGAATTTTGATTTTATTATCTAATTCAATGTTTTTTATTTATCATATTTATTTATAAATTAAAATTTAATATTTTTAGATTAAACCATCAATAATTAAAAAAAATGTACCACAATATAATTAATTTATTTTAAATAAAAAATACAATTTAAATGTTTAAAAACATCTAATAATATAAATTTAAATTTATATTCAAATATATTTATTATAAAATTTAGTTGTGTATAATAAACATTTAAGCTGTAAAATACACTAAAATACTGGTAAATATTGATAATTATATATAATTGTTTCGTTACTATTAACCATTGGCCAGACAAAATTAACTATATTTATAAATGTAATTAACCAGAGTTTGGGTGGATGCCGGGTGGACACGTCCTAGTGAGACATTGAATTTGCTCCTATATTAAAAAGCATAGTATTTTGCAAATAGATTACATGTTTGGTATATCGAGATGCCTCACAACTCTCCTCTGCAAACAGTTCCATGGAAAGAAATATCTGAAGGACAAGCCTTCTTTTGAACAAGACAGCATTTTGAAAACAGTGTTCTACTTAATAAGTTGGTAATCTGATTTATACAGATTATGGCTTTTGTCACTTGTGCAGCACACCTTTCCTTGACAGCTTCTGTTTCTTTTGAATGTGGTTCTGTAATGTAAACAATAGAAGAATATATAAGCGGATACGTTCACGGAACAATTTCAAATCATGGACAGAGAAAATTGCTACCTTCTGTTTTTCCAGTGCTTCATAATCCGTCCTCTCCTTCCACTTACTCTTGCGAAGTTTTATGGGCCGATTTCCAACATACTTACCTGAAAACAAGACATCAAAATCAAGATACACATTTCATTGCATTTGCGACAATATTGTCTGCTTACATTGACAGGATTCAGTGACAAATTGGATGAGCCATAAAGACATTGATGCATAAAAGAAACAATAATCCAACATGATTATGGTTTTGGATTGTAAAGCTATCAATCTTGAGTCTCTAGTCAATACTATCTGGCCTAACATATTTATACTGAATCAAAGCACTAGTCAGAAGAATAACAAATATTAGAGTAATATGCATTTAGACATTACACTGCAGGGTAATTTAAAAAGAGAGACCCATTAGAGCTTACTAACCATTCATTTCTTTAAGTGCAGCAGCAAGGTCAGCAGGATTCGCAAAGCTCACAAATCCATAACCTTTTGTTTTACCAGTCCGCTTATCTCTGACAACCTAGACAATATCAAACATAACTTCAAATCATTAAGCAAGATCTACATTAAGATACACAAACCATTAACAACTCTGTCCCCTTCAAACAAAAATCTGAAGAGGAAACAGAAAATGCTCATACAAGCACCACAATCATTACTAAACATAAAAATAATTTGGGTTAGATGAGAAATCCACTTACTCGTGCCAAGTTAAAAGAAGGGAACCGTGAAAATGCTTTTGAAAGAACATCATCATTCACTTCATTACCGAGATCGCCACAAAAGAGCCGATAATCATCTAATTATCCCAAAAAAAAAAGATAAATGAATTCATGAATTCTTGCCTAACTTCAGAATTTTCAAAACCACAAACGCAATTTCCACATAGGCTCCATAGAAACAAAACACGCACAATCCAAATCAATTATACAAAACTGCTATGAGGAATAACAGATTTATTTATTTTGGGATAATCATGTTATTATTGCGTAGTATCTGTGGATAAGGAATAACAGATAATCTTTCACAAGCAATGACTAAAAAATCATTATCATATATACCTTCTGGCCACTCTGCAAGGATAGGATCCTCCCATGATTGGCCAGCAACCTTGCGAGGAACCGCTTTCCTTTTGCTATCTGCTTTGTGCTCTACATCACTACTCGCAATCGCTGCCTTAACATTCTCAAGAGCCTCCGGCGTTATTATCTGTGCATCCCTCTCAAATAACTGTTGTGCCTGCTCAATCACAAGACAAATTCAATCAATTTACGCCACATTCTCCTTTTCTTATTCTAAACAAGAACAAAACCACCAACCTGATACTGTGGCACGGTGGAGTATACACCCGCCACAGGCGCAGCGGGACCAACGATGGGAGGTTGCACGGACGGAGTGGCAACATAGGGTGCAGCGTAATGAGTGGTTGCAGGTTGCTGTAGATGAAAGGGCACTGGGAAGTAAGAGGGGTTGGAATAAGTGTATTGCGATTCCGAAGCTGAGGAAGATGGTGTCGTCATGGAATTGGAATCGAATGAAGCTGAATTGGGAACAAAACCGTGGTTGTCAGTAAGATGTCAAAGTAAATGATTTACTCTATACTAGAAAGTTGCAGCAATTTTTAGTTTTCAATAAAATGTCATAAACAAGACAATTGATTCAATTTTGTGAAACATTTTCATAGAAATTTGTTAATGCGCTTCTTCTATACATTTTCCGTTGCCCTAATTTGTCTAAATGGTGAGATGACAATGGGAAGCAACAACGAAGAGCAAAGATTACTTGAAAAATTAAGGAACAAAATTGTAGGGCGACGGAAATTTCATGACAACGACGTAAGACCTAATGTGTCTATCCTGCGGTAGATTCAAATCTGTCGGAATAATAAATTCAACTTCCAATTTACGAAAGCGTTATGTGAGAAGAGAAAGAATCTGAGAAATTTAGATGGTGTGATTGAGAAAACGAAGATTGACGAATTAACGATATGGAATGAATACTCACCAAAGACGTTGAAGCAGCGTCGACCTCAGAGACAGAGAAGACCTAACACTGTTTGCTTACAAAGGAAAGAAACGAGGGAGAAATTGAGAAACTGAAAAGCGAGAAAAGTTAAAAATAAACTAAAATTATGTTTGTGTGTGTTTTTTAAGCGTGTTTAGTTCCAATTAGGTCTGTTTAATAATAAGGATAATTTATATATTAAATATAATATTTGTGTTTATATATTATTTATTATAAAATTTAGTTATATATAATAAATATCCAACCATACTAATTTGAATTGATAAAAATATAAATGAATGAGTTAGGTAACGTAATATTCTTAAAATTATAATATTAAAGAATAATTAAAACGAGTAAAAATTGAATAATAAAAATAAAAATACTTAAATATTCTAGAAAACTTAAAAGTACGGCCCATTAACGTTGGAAATGGTTGGCCCAGCCCAAATATGTCTAGACCTGACATGACCCATTAGTCCAAAATTGACACTGATTCATTTCACTGTCAACAACCAAAAGAAACAATGGCGGGTTCGGAGCCTTCTCCTTCTCCAAAAATCCTTCTAGCAAAGCCCGGACTCGTCGCTGGAGGTCCCGTCGCCGGAAAATTCGGTCGAGGCGGCGCCGCCGATGATGATTCCACTCAGCTCCGTTCTCGTCTTCCTTCTGTGGCGTCCCTTAACCTTCTCTCCGATTCCTGGGATTTCCACATCGATCGTTTTCTCCCTGTAAGTAAAGTATCCTCTGATTTCCTCTTTTCCTCAAAATGTTTGCAATTAGGTTACACCTTTATCGTAAGCTGAGATATACTCTAACTGCCATTGGATTTTATTTGAAAATGTTACAGTTTTTGACTGAGAATACAGACTTCACTGTGGTTGGAGTGATTGGGCCACCTGGAGTTGGCAAATCCACTATTATGAATGAACTCTATGGTTTTGATTCAACTTCGCCTGGTTAGTTTACTCACACAATCTAACCTATAAACTTCTCTGCAACACTTACAACAGTAGAGAAGAAAATAAGCAGCATAAGTTGAAATCAATTTATCGACCTCAACTTTTAGTGAAGTTATACGAAAATTTTTTAAAGGTTTAAATACTCATTTAGTACTTGTAGTTTTATAAACTTTACTTTTTAGTCCTCCTAATTAGAAATGTTCCATTTCAGTTCTTGCACATACAATCCCTGTCTAACAGGTGAATTTTATGAAACTACACCGACTAAAAGGAAACAAAAACAGCATGTTCAGAGACTAAAATAGTATGTTTTTAATTATTATAGAGTAAAATGTAAAGTTCATCAAACTATAGGGACCAAAAGGGTATCAAAATATTTTTGAAAAAATTAAGTAGATAAGATGATTTTAATTTTTAAAAAAAGCTCAAATCATTTTAGTTTCTTATTTTATTCTCTTATAAGTGCTTACAGATAAGTTTATTCATACATGGCTTAATTTCTTCCCTAAGTTTTTATTTATTTTGACTTTGATGTTTGAGCCTGCAGGGATGCTACCACCTTTTGCCATACAGTCTGAAGAAACTAGAGCTATGGCAAGGCACTGTTCCACGGGCATTGAACCAAGGATTTCAACTGAACGTATTATTCTTCTCGATACCCAGGTACTACTACTACCCGGAATATCTTCTATTCTTCATTCCTTAATTTGATTCAATTTTCATTTGGAGCTTGGCTTGTTTTCTATTGCTTCTACTGTTCTTGTTTCTTATATTTGGTTTGTGGGATTTCAAGTTTTATTGGTCGTTTTTATTTTGTTTACCTGTAGCCTGTATTCAGTGCTTCTGTTTTAACTGAGATGATGAAACCAGATGGCTCTTCAACAATTTCAGTGCTAAGTGGAGAAACCTTGTCAGCTGAATTGGCTCATGAACTTATGGGTATTCAGGTAAAGAGTAACTCCTGAGTAGAAAATATCTTCGTAATACAATTATTATCTGTTTATAAAGTTTCTAGCTAGGCAATCTTGAATGATTTTATTTTTTTGTACTGTTACTATATCTGATTAACTTCACCATGTTGGGTTGCTGCAAGGAATCTTTATAGCTTGCTGTTCTTCTAGCATCCATATGTCATATTCTGCTGGTAGTGTCAGAGGGAGTCCATGATGATAACATGTGGCATTTGATGTTAACGGTATGTGTCTTAGTTGAAGATGCTTCAAGCCCTGTTCAATACCTCGATGAATATTTTTCATGTTATCCAAATTATGTAGTCATTTGAAAAACTGTTGTGCCTGATGGCTCCATACTTCCATCTATTTTTCTGGTTTGAATGATTCAGTGGGTATGTTTTTGACTTCTTAGCTCAGATTTTTGCAATAATAGATCAAGGGTTTGGATGCTCTGTCTGGCCTACACGTAATAAAATCAAGTGGTTTGGGATACATCCATAACTTTTACTGTTTTACAATGATCATTTTGGTGAATAGTGGCAATCCAATAGTGTGTTGGCAGTATTTTGTTAATTTTAGCATGGCACTAGCTCCTATCTTTTGATAACAACTATATGATGCATTCGGGTTTAGAAAAGCATGACACCAGTTAAGCTAATTTCAATATTTAGAACATAGCCTCTTCTTGGTTCACACTTGTCTCTTATTTGCAGTTGCTAACAAAATAACTAGAACCCCCTCAATTTTTTTATGCTTTTGAAACATGTGACTTCCCCTTGTGCTGATAAGTTCAGCTGATGACAGAGACTCGATTAATCTCTGGTCAGCTTTGAGTATTTTTTAGATTTTAAATGACTCGCTTATAAGACAAGTACACAGTGTATTCCTTGCACATTATGTGCAGATTCTTAATTCTTTTATATATTTAAATTCTAAAGACTAATGATATTTTAAAAAGGACTGATTATGCTGTACTTGTGTCATGTAGGTTGACTTGTTGAAGCATGGCATTTCAGACCCATCCTTGATGACTTCATCGCTATCACAGAGCTCTAGTTCAGGGCTTGAGAAAGATAAACTTCCTGAACATGAAGAATATGTGGCTACTCCTGTGTTTGTACACACCAAGTAAGAAACATCTTTCTTCCTCAATATATTGGCAGGAAATAATTGGTATAAATGTGTAACCAAATGCTGTAATCATTGTAATGCAGCCAAAATAATAAACTCTATAATACTCGTGATTGCTCTGAACTGTTTGGCTTTTGTAGTTAATTTAACAACAAAAGATAATTCTTGAAAAGACAAGCCTAGCCAAGACCTGGAGGGACCTAGTGAGTGAGAAATGATAAATGGTTAACTTGTTGTTTGACTTGATTAGCCGCTTGCTACTAGCTAAATTCCATCTTGGCCTTGTCTTGTTTTTTCTTTCTATAACCTTTTCTTTCAAATATCCTCTAAAATTAAGGTCTATGTCACCTACCGCAAAATAACCAAACAAAATTTCAAAATGCCACAATTCTGTTTGGCGTGGAGAGTAAAACACAGCAACTCCAGCCATATACCATAAGAAGTTTAAAGCCTTCTACCCCTCCTACCACTCTGAAGAGAATTGCAAAAAAGTGGTGAACCAAGTGGTCAACGCTTATGGCCACATTGACATTCTGGTCAACAATGCAGCTGAGCAGTACGAGAGTGATTCATTGGAAGAGATTGATGAAGCAAGACTCGAGAGGGTGTTCCGAACTAATATCTTTTCCCATTTCTTCATGACCAAGTAATAATAAACCTCTAACCTCTACCTCCTTCAACTTTGTATTGACACCATTTATTTTGATATTTTTTCATTACATAAAGTAGGTATGAGTTTAAGTGACCACATAATATAATTTTATAGGCATGCATTGAAGCACATGAAGGAAGGAAGCAGCATTATAAACACGGCATCAGTGAATGCATACAAGGGACATGCAACGCTAGTGGATTACACGTCGACGAAGGGTGCTGTTGTGGGGTTTACGAGGGCACTCGCGCTTCAACTTGTGACAAAGGGAATAAGAGTGAACGGGGTAGCACCTGGACCCATTTGGACTCCGTTAATAGTGGCAAGTTCCACGGAGGAAGAAATTACTCGATTTGGTTCAGATGTGGCTATGAAGAGAGCTGGGCAACCCATTGAGGTTGCTCCATCTTATGTGTTTCTTGCGAGCAACCAATGTTCTTCTTACGTAACTGGCCAAGTCCTCCACCCTAATGGTCATACATATTATATATTCATACTATAATAATTAATTAACATATATTTTACATTACCAGCTGTTCCTTGTTTGTTTTTTTTTAACTGTTTTCATCTCCTTTTTTTAGGTGGAAGCATTGTGAACGCTTAATGAAGGATAAATGACACTCGTTAATCGAGACTGGTGTATGGTTCTTGTCTACGTAAACTATGTTATGTATGGCAGATAGCACAGTGCTGATGTGTATGAAGGAATAAATGTTAGCTCTAATGGAAAGCAAGTGTGTGTATTGCTTCCAATCGTATAGACCTGATAAAATATTGTTTGTAAGTAAATGTATATGTATCCATAAATTTGTGGGCAAGTTTTTAAATGAGTCTATTGTAGTTGCTGTGGATAAATGTGATCATTGTAGACCTCGATCGCAGTCTGATGAGGACTGAGGTTGCCACATATGTCATTGTGATGTCATTATAAAATTTCGTGTCTGCCTGATTGTTTTTAATTTATACCCTCGTAACTTAATTTTGTAAATATTATTATATTCGATCACACGTACAAGAAGATTGTTGAAATAAAACTTAACAAAAACATTGTGAGAGACGCATTTAGAAAAAAGAAGTTACAGAATGAACTGGTAAGAAATATCCGGTATCAAGAGCCCGAGTAGGAATGGCCTACATACCTCCAAACGAAAAGTGCCCAAGAAAAATGGGCCCAAAGTACGCTTACTCAGCAATGCCAATGAGACATTGACAAAGTTCAAAGATGTTTTCAAAAAATATATACATATAATTTTTATTTTACTTGTCTGCCAAGTAAAAAATGACTTCATAACAAAGTAATAATAGCAAACAATTTTACAAAAGAAAACTTATAAAACAAGTTTTTTTTTTTTTAATTTGATTCGAATCCATTATGACATTTTAAAATTATAGATTATTTGCGGGGCAAACATTCCTATCCGTTGATAAAACAATATGAATTCCAATCTATTATTTTTCCCACGCTTAAAACTAGATAAAAGTCGAGAGGGGGAATCGAAATATAAAAATACTATAATGAAACCGAACCTAGCAACATTTTATCAAGGAGATGATTAGTACATTTCCAAGCAACAAAGCAACACGCAGAATTTCCAACAATCTCAATACGAATAACTTTCAAAATGCGAAAATGTACTCAACTAAAATTTCGTTCAATACCACAAGAAATACAATAGATGTTCAGATAATAACCTAAGCAAAATCTCAAAATGCCACAATTTTGTTTGGCTTGCAGAGTGATATAGTAACTCCAGCCATATACCATAAGAAGTTTAAAGCCTTCTACCCCTCCTACCACTCTTTCTACGTGTGCTATCCGAAGGAATGGGAGTCACATCCTCTGGAAAATACAAGATTAATTAGCATTTAAAAACAAATGCAATACAATTAAATCAATCAGATAACTACACTAGTAGTCTCTGTAATTTCGCTCCATTCAAACAACATCCAAGGCACCAAGTATTTTGTCTTAAAATTTAGCATTTTTCTGACGTCTTCAAGATGGGTTGATTCTTTCTTTGTCTATAAAATGAAATCCTATACGTTGCAAAAGCTTTTCAGGAAATACAATAAGAATAAAAGAAGGCAAATCATTCCCATTAAATTCGGCGGGGAAGGTCAGCCAAGCACTAGCAGCTGTATGGAAATTAAGTGTGTCGGAACATTTGTAAAGATTAAATTATTTTAATAATTGATTATATACACATTATATATATATATAAAGAGAAATTCAAGTTAGTTTATCTGAACTTACTGTTTAATAATTTATTAATTTATATTTTATATTAAATTTTAATAATTCAATAATTAAATTTAAAATTTTTAATGCATAGATTAAGTAAATTTTTAAAAAAATTTAAAATTATTTTATATTTTATTTTATTCATTTAAATTAACGTATAAAATAATTTTATTATTATTCATCAATTTTAACTAATAAAATAAAATATTAAATGATTTTTTAAAATTTTAAAAAATTTGCTGAGTAATTATACTTCTACATAATAAATCAGTTTTAAGAAAAAGAAAACTAAGAAATAATTCAAATTTTTATATGCATAAAAATAACTTTATACAACTTATTTTGCAAATAATCTTTTCTATATAAATAAACACTAAAATTTGGAAGAAATAATTTTTTTAAAACAGAATACATAATTCAAAATCAAGAAAGATAATTTATAAAGCAATCACGTGAATCCGAAGAATAGAATGTAATATAAACATTATATTTCACTTAACTAGAAAAGTATATGTTATTATTTACAGGGAAAATTAATGTATGAACGATTCATATGATACGGGAGAAGGTAAGCGTGCATTTTTCAAATAATGCGTTAGGTTCAATAATTAAAAACTTCGGATCAGTCAGCTTAAAAATAACATAGTCAAGGAACGGTTTAACCGGCTATAGTTATCTTAGCTTACCCAGCTCAAAAATAATTATTCAAATTATTTATGATCTTTTACCGAGACCAAAAAGATTAAGTAAAAGATTAAATAAGAACAAGTTCTGTTAACACGATCACATACATAGAGTGATAACTGATGACATTATATTTTAGACGATTTAAAGTTCAAAGTGAATTTATCTGTTTTCACAGCTAATAATTCGTTTTCTTATTAAAAGGATTAAAAAAAAATCTGCCTTCCACCCCATGAAATGAAGGCAAAACAATTTTTCAGGATTAAAAAACAAACATCCAGAACAACTGCAATTCAGCTGTCCCATATTCATGGTTCAGGCCTTGGACTCCCATGGTTGGTACCTGGTCCAGTTTCTCTGCCCTGGATTAAGTGCATGTCCTTTGGAATGATAGATATACTGTTCACCTTCTCCAGACAAGTTTTCTTTGTGTTCAACACCATACCTTTTCGGTTTCAGCAAAAGAAGCTGCAATAAATTCATTGTATCATTATTATCATCAACTTGGGGCTTCGCATTTTCTTATCATATGGCATTACCAAGGAAGAAATAAAATACCTCATCTCCTGTGTGATCAGTTATGAAGTGGAGCCAGCCATGCCATTCAGGTGGAACCTGGGAGGCATTATATCTACTCTTCTCTGCATATTCAACCCACCTGTGTCTTCCTGCCAAATATCAAGCAAATCATAACATTTATAAATTTGTTATTATGTCAAAATTTGGGGTTTTACTTCTTTGGATAAAGAATTTTAAAATTTAAAAGAATTTAAAATGTAGGAAATCTAATTCCATCTATTTAATTCATTTCAATGGTAAAATAAATTGTTAGGAACTTTGGATATCCATTTGACAAGTTACAATTCATTGCAAAAAAAAATCATAATGTTATCAATAAAATTTGAAACAAAGCCCTTCACTGACAGAAGAGAGATTCGTCAGTTAGCTATTGCTGCCTGGCATGGATCATTCTGAGATCATCTTGAGTTGTTAGGTTTTGCTGCTAAGATATTGATGACTTCTACTGAGAAACACTACGACATAGCCCTTGAATCATCCATTCCCTTCTTTGTGTCTGGTGGCTTGTTCGCCAGCAGTAGATTCGTGCAATGTTGTAAAATTCACAAGCTTACCTCGTAGGATAGTACGGATAGTACAATCATATGCATCAAGCCATCAAGGCCACTCTTTGGTGCCGGATTGGGAGCCAGAATCGCTGGCAACTAGGATTGTTATGGTATTGTGATCTACCACACCCACACATCCACATGCAATTGTGGGTTCATCGATCCCCTACTAGGTCAAAATAACCAGGTCGTGGTCCTTTGAAAACCCTAAATTTCGTTCTGTCCCCATTTAAAAAACACTTATGTTCTCTTCCCATAGGTGCACCCTACCCTTTCTCCCCTATTTCTGACTCATTTGCAACTGTTTGACATCAATGCTGCACCACTACCACCACTCTGCATCGCCACTGGTCACACCTCTGTTTTGCGAAGCTTCTCCTTTCTCCCCAAGTTTTCTCTCATCTCTGATTTGCGAAGTGAACTTCCCTCTCTTCTATAAACCATCATTCATTTATTCTCTTGACTAGGTGTTCATTCTCTTCCCTCGGGGATTGGGACTGTGACTTCTAAAATGATTCTTCTATTGTTGGCCTAAGTGTTTATCTCTTCTGTTAATTATCCATAAGCATAATAATATACTATAATAATTCTGTTAATTATAATATATTATTATGATTATGAATTTTAACTTTAAGTTTGTTGAATGTTGTGATTTAGAGATTATCTATGTAGTTTTCATTCATAAGTATTATAAGTATTTGAAGAAAGAACGTTGGATCTTACTATCCAAATTATGATCCTGAGTTACAAGTTTTCCTCCCCTCCTGATCCTAGTTTAGAAAAACTGATTCAAGTTTGCATTAAAATGAAAATATCCATGTTGTATTATGGAAAACACAAGTTACACGTGTGTCAAGTTACTAATTGTTACTCTTCTATTTAAATTTTAAACTTCTAAAATCTGTCATTAAATCACAACATTTTAGCTTAAATACTAGTATGATGATGTCTCAAACTTACACGAGCATATATTTTGCTTAAGAAACTCGGCCTACATTTTGTTTTCCCAATTTAACTCCACACTCTTCCTCGTGATTCCTTTCCCCGCAATAGTTATACCCACATTATACACAATTAATAGAGGGCAAGCCCAAGACAGCTGCTGCCTTGTGTGTGACCTAGAGGTCACAGGTTCATAGCCTACCAGCTTGTAGGAGTAAGGATGCATGCATATACCATCCTTACTTCTTTAGACCCACTGGGTGAGAGCCTTGTAGACTAGGTAGGCATTCTTTAATGATTCCAATCCACCACTCATCAGACCCCCAGACAGCTTACAATAAAAAGCTTCAATATCTTTCCGTTTCCAAAGACTGTCCCTCCCCCTCACAATCCTCACAGTTTTACCGGAGTTCTGTTTGTTATGTTTCTTTATTGATTATTGATATTGATATTTTTGGCTGGCATGACCTTTACTTGCAAGGCTTATAGTAACTCCAAGATATACACATCATCTTTTATAGCATTATGCTTTTTATAGCACCTATCTTGAGGCAGCACTTGAAAAGCCATGACATTTCAACATATATTTTTCTTGTTAATTATGCATAGTGAGATATCCATGAGCAATAATTGGAAGGCTTGATGTTAATGGTTGCTGTGCATGTGCATGCCATTGGTAAGGTCCTTAGCTAGTCTAGGGCTCAAAGGGTTAGTTTTGTTGTGTTTAGCCATATGTAATTTATATAGAATTTAGAACAAACCCCACACACATACAGATTGTGACACAAAGAACAGGGCACTTACCATACTGTGTGTCCCCTAGCTTCTCATAATACTTGTTCCCAATTTTATCAACACCGACAAGAGTTGCCCCAATATTGTGGATCTTGGTCTGCCTACATAAGTTCACAAATTATATTGGCAGAGGAAAAATACCAGTATCAGAAGGGAGTTAAGATCTCGTGGTAAAACACCAATAGACATAAACCATTATGCTAGAGGACGGCTACAAGAAAAATAAATCTAAACCTATTTGCAATGAACCATATACGTTCACTCAACTCAATCTACAGAAAAACTGTCATGTATACAGGCGTACAGCAACATGCAATCAAAACCACTAAACGCTCTTCTCCTTTTATCTCAAAGAGGGCAATTTGAAGTCACAGAACTAATGTCATACATGTTTTTCATACATGCTTGTGTCCTTCTCATATCCCTCCCTGAATAATATAAAAGGCTCCTTCAATTGAATTCACTATTCTACCGTACCTCTCTACATCCTATTTATTCATCGCGCATTAGGAAAGGCAACAAGCCAAAACAGTGAGACATTCAATCATCGAAAGTAATAAATTGGCTTTCAAAGAAGAATATATATAAATCGAGAGAAATTGATGAAGAATGAAAAGATGAAGCGAAGAAATTGACTTACAAGAGATTTCCATCCGGAAGGCATCTCCTGAAAATTCAAACCATTAAGTAAAATATATCAGCACAGCACAACCCTCGAGTATCAACAGATAAATCCACTTTATTCATGGAATCAATAAACCCTCGATAATTTCCACTGACATTTTCCCCCGAATAATTATTGCACAACAAAATTCCTTCACAAGCGCGATATTATATTAACAAAGAGCTATTAAATCAAATCTGAGTTTCATTTCAATTTCAACTCCTAAATTGCATTTTCCGGAGAAAGACTGGAGAAAAGAGGCATAAAAACAGCAAAATCGAACTAAACGATCGGAATTCAAAGTGAAAAGGCAAATAAGATTCGTAAAATGTCGAATGATTAACTATGCGTAATGTTAGGGGAAATTTAGAATCGAAGGAGAGAAAAAGGAACAAACAGGTATCCTTCTTCCTTGAGCTCTCTGAGGAAAGCGCCGAAACCCTTTTCTCTGACTGATTTCAGTACGTTCTTCACAACCGATGCCATCTCGCTCTTCTTCCTCCTCTCGCTTCTTCTCCCACTCTCTTCTCTCTTCTCTTTTGGGGTATACTATTGCTAAGGCTTTGGTAACACCAAATAAAAATAAGAATAAAATAAAGAAAACCAAGAAAAAATAATAGAAATAAACCAGAGTAAAGAGGAAATAAATAAATTATTGGTTCCGTTAAAAATTATTATTTGCCTTTTCTTTGTTGGTAAATTAAGGGTGTAGTATAAATTGTATTTTATTAATTTATTCATTAAATTAAAAATGCCATCAATTTCACACTATTTTATTTTAAAAATAAATAAAACTATGTCATGTTTTATTTAATTTAACATAAATTTTTTATAAGTATGATTGTTGTCTTATCATAAAAAAAATAATCAATGATTTAATTAGTAAAATAGAGGCTTAAATATGATTTTTTTTCTCTCTCTCTATTTTACTTATTTCAATCATTCTTATGAAATTCAAAATGTTTTAGTTTTCACATTTTTGTTGTTAAATACTTTCATTAAAAATATTAGTTTGTTAAAGTCATCCTGTTATGAAAAAAATGATGATACTATTTATTTATTTTTTTGTAAAAAAAGTCAAACTCTAAAATTAATTAAATTTTACGGTAAAAAACTATCTTACTTGAATCGGTTGGCATGAGAGGGGTGATAAAAGTTTGCAAAACATTCATGAAAAGAACGATTCTCTACTCTATGAAATTGATTATATTTGATTATTTGTCTCTCTAAAATTGTAAGTAAAATTAACATGTAAGAAAAAATTAACCAACTTTTTGGTTGGGAAGTTTTTAATATCGGGGAGCACTCTATACAATGAGTAGTAAGTAAATCAGACAAGGGAGTCTATTACTCAACATGCCCAACTCTAATCAATGTAGAACTTCACTTCACAATACAGTACATAATGAGTAAGTCACACAAGTAAGTTTGACACCACAACATAACCTAAAACCTTAAGACATTAGGTAGGTGGGTCCGTCTCACTTATATATTACTCAACATACCTAATTATAACTAATGTAGGACTTTGTTTCACACTTAAATTCTAACACTCCCCCTCTCAACATATCTAACTCTAATCAATGTGGGACTTCAGTTTATACTTGGACTCTAACAAAAGCAAGGATAAGAAATCTCACATCCCATCTGCAAGGACGGAGCCAAGGGGGGACCTACGGGTGCCACGGCCCCCCCAACAATTTTAATTTTTTTTTATATACATATATATTACTATATGGCACCCCCTAATATGCTTTTGATACTTTAATTTTCATTTATTATAAATTATATATTATTTATTCTCGGCCCCCCAGTATTGAAATCCTGGCTCCGTCCCTGCCCATCTGTAAAAGTGAAATTGCAGCACTAGAGCCTGATTCCACCATGATGTGCAAGAAGTTTCTAACATAGTGAACCCAAAAAGTGCAAGTAGGCAGCCACAAAATCAGAACTAGAATTACGTATTATACTATGAAGCCAAACCAGACGAGCTGACACCACCAGCAACATTTAGTTTAATCATATGGGGGATCAACCGAATAGCAATAGGATGTTCTATATCATGATTGAAACAGATGGTAATTAGAGAATTAATCAAACCATTTTGCTTCACACTTGGAGCCTTGCAATGAATTTTGGCAACTATGGCTTAGGGAGGGTCAACAAAATGTCTAAAAATCACATTGTTATTATTAGTCCAAATTATGTCCACAGCAACCGGAAAAACAACATAAAGACAAACAGGTTCAAAACACTCTACTATTGAAAGTTGTCTTGTTGCCTATCTTTGGAGCACTCCCATTTGAGGTACTAGTCATCCCTCCAAAACCGAATAGAAGAACCATCATTGATCTTCCAACTAATTTTCTTATCAAGTATAGTCCAAATATATTTAATTAATTCCACACCACAAATTAGATCCCTTCCTCTCCGAATCAATCACAAGAATAGTCCCCGATCCACATCTGTGTTTTGCATGAATAACACTTTCCCAAAAAGCATTGTGTTGCATCATGAATCTCCAACCCACCTTTAATAGGGTTGTCTGGTTAATAACTCTAAATTCTTTAAGGCCCAGACCCCCATGGATCTTTGAGGAGGACCAAGATACTGTGTGAATTTTTCTGGCATTTTCTGAGTCTCCCTAAACAAAGTTCCAACATTTATGATCAATGGCATCACAAACTAACTTAGACAACATAGTAGAATTGCATGATGTGATTGGGTAAGGATTGTAGTACGGATTTAGTAAGAGTCACGCATCCTACAAGTGACAGTTGTGTAGCTTTCCAAGCACTTAAAAGTTGGTTCACTTTGTCTACTAAAAATTGGTAGGTACTTCTTTTGTGATGCTTGTGAAGATTGGAACACTAAGGTACTTGTCCATCATCAGTTCTTTGAAATCCTAACCCATTTCTAGTATCCCCTAACCTGCCACCATGTGTTACTAGAAAATAAACTACAAGATTTTTCTATGCCTACTTTCTGACCAGAGCTACTATAGAAGATTTTTATTATTTTAAAAAAAAAAATCACATTATACATATTTTATACTTATAAATTTCAATAAAATTTATATAATTTCTTTAAAATTTTCCAAAAATATTACATAACATATTTTAATATAATTCCACAAGGATGAGTTTAGATAGAGGATATTTCTAAAAGTTGTGTTTATATAAAAAAATTGTAAAAATTTTAAATTACTTCAAATTCAAATAAAATTCTTTCACTTTTAACTTTTTAAATAAAGAAATTAAATTTCTTCATACTCAAAGTTCAAGTCCTGCTATATTCAAATATCCTTTCATTTATACTGAAT